CCTCCCAGGACGAGAGCTGCATGTACAGCCCCACCGGGAAGGCGGCCAAGTGCCGCGGCTACCGCGAGATCCCCGAGGGCAACGAGAAGGCTTTGAAGAGAGCGGTGGCCAGGATTGGGCCCATCTCCGTGGGCATCGATGCCAGCCTGCCCTCCTTCCAGTTCTACAGCCGAGGTGAGGGGCTGGGGGGAGCTCAGGGGGCTGCTCAGGGAGCTGAGCGCTCCTGGTGACACCGGCTGTGTCCCCAAGGCGTGTACTACGACGAGAGCTGCAACGCTGAGAACATCAACCACGCCGTGCTGGCCGTGGGCTACGGGGCACAGAAAGGCACCAAGCACTGGATCATCAAGAACAGGTACAGGGCTTGGGGTGGTTTGGGAGTTGCAGGTGGTTTGGGCTCTTCCAGAGGTTTAGATTTTGCTTTTCCACCCTGCAGCTGGGGCGAGGAATGGGGCAACAAGGGCTACGTCCTCCTGGCCCGCAACATGAACAATGCCTGCGGTGTGGCCAACCTGGCCAGCTTCCCCAAGATGTGACAACCCCACCCAGGCCTTCCCTACCCACTGCCCTGCCTCCAGCTTGGCCCCTTCCCTCCCAGCCCCAAAGGTGACGGTGCTCCCAGGGAGAATTCTTTGTTTCCATGAGAAATTTCTCCTGGGAAAAGGGAAATTCACCTGCAGGGAATGGAAAATTCACCTGCAGGGAATGAAGGATGAGTCCCCTCAACTCTGTTTTTCACACTTCTGCATTCCCATGATCTGTGGAGGCCAATCCACCCAGACATGCTTCAGGAAGCAGGTTCCACACCAGCCTCTGCCTCAGGAGGAATATTCCCAATGGAGAAGAAAAATCCCTCTCCCTCCACCCTGTATCCCAGTGGAGGCTGCTGAGAGTGATCTTGACTTTATTTTTCAACTAAAATTGGGAATAAGGCTTGGACTGGTTTGCTTTGTGCTGGGAAAAAGCCTCAGGGATGAGAAAAATTCTTCCTTTTCCCAAAGGGGCAAGGAATCCCATGTGAGGCAGAACAGGGTGAGAAGAAGCTGCTGGGGAATTTTGGGGCAGAGGGATGTGTGGAGTATCTGGGGAGGGGGAGGTTCTAGGAAGGACACAGGGAAGGACAGATGGATGGATGGACACTCAGGACACCCCCAGCCCCATCAGAGCCCCCCAAACCCTCCCCAGGGACTGTCAGCCATGGCTGGGGGGGCACCATGGGGAATTTGGGGACCTCCCGTTATTGTGGCCATGGGGGGGACACGAGTGACAATGCCCCTGCAGGAAGGGGTGCACAGAGACCCCTGGGGGGGCACGGGGCCGTGTGTGCCCCGCGTGGCTGAGCGTGGTGAGCACAGCACACCCCAAAACCAAACACAGGTATCACAGCAGGCCTGACACAGCCCAGGAGCGCAAACACCCCAATATCCACCCACACCCCGCCACACCCCGGAACGGGGCCCCCCTGAAACAATGGGGACAGTGAGGCATAAGGAAGTCCCCAAAGGCGGAAAAAAGGGACACTCAGAGGTGACACCGCAGCATCTTTATTGTTCCCTCCTGCCGGGGGGGGGGTTCACTCCTCGTAGCCGTGGGGCGGGGGCGCCAGGGCGGCCCCCAGGGTC